AACATTGGAATTTTGATGGGAATAGCATAGAATCTGTAGATGACTATGGGTAGTATGGATATTTTAACAATATTAACTCTCCCAATCCATGAGCACAGGATGTATTTCCACTTATTTGTGTCTTCTTTGATTCCTTCCTCAATGTCTTATAGTTTTCAGTATACAAGTCTTTCACCTCTTTGTTAAATTTATTCCTAAGTATTTTATTGTTTTTGATACTATTGCCAATGGGATTACTTTTTAATTTACTTTTAAGATAAATAATTCTTTATGAAAAAAACATCTTTGAGAGAAAAAGGGACAGATTACACTAAAATAATAGAAGTATGTGTTTCTTTTGTGCAAACATATGATTTCCCAGAAATTATTCCCCTTAAAAAGGTGAGAATGAAGCAGCATTCAAAAGCCCAAGAGAAAATGCTAGCAGGCTTAGCTGAAGATGGCACAGGATGGTGGCTAAGGGGACGGACACTGGAGCCAGATACTGTGAATTAGGACCCTCCATATAGTATTCGCCTCTGAAACATCTATGTTCTTACTTAAAGAGTGAAAATACTTTTTTCCCCTATGTTTCTTTTCATTTCACCATTAGTTCTATAATTTGCTGTGTCTTTTAATTCATAAATATTAAATGACCCAATCTGGAATAATTATATATTCAAAAAGAATAACTGTAATGGATTATGACTTAGAGATTAAATGAGAATTGTGAATTCATAATGATATACAAGGTCTGTAAAGAAGGTATCCAGCCATGTAATATGAAAAATAGAGACATTTACTGAAGAAGATACAAGATACAAGAAACATTGCACATAGGACAATGACACTTCTGTCCACTTCAAAGTAGGCACCTTGGGACCTCACACAGTTCTCCCAATCACCACTAGCTGCCCCATTTTATTTTCCTGAATCTCATCGATGGTCTGAAATCTTTTCCCTTTCAAAGGTGATTTCAGTTTGGGGGAAAAGCCAGAAATCACAGGGCGCCAAATCTGTGCTGTAGAGGGGCTGAGTCACCTGGGTGATTTAATGTTTCAGCAAAAGCCTCTGCATGAGATGTGATGCATGAGAGTGTGCATTGTCATGATGAAGCTGCTAATCATCATTTGCCCATAGCTGTTGTGGTCTTCTGAATCATCAAAATAGTTTCCATGGGGGAATGTTCAAGCTTAACGCAATATTTGATGCAGTTTCGTTGCTCTACTCACTCAGTCATTTTGAATGCGATGACAACACAGTACACATGCTCATTCAACAGCATCTACTGCCACCACTGACTAGTACAGAGAAGTCATCCTTGTTCACACATGCACCTTCCAGTCCACTCTTCTTGGCTGCCAGGTTACATCGATGTCACACAAACCATTCATGTTATATTAACAATGGCTGGACTTTTTCTGGACAGACCTCGTAGTATCTATACCAGTGTATGCTAGCTGTTCTCCATTGCCCCTCCAGGTCCACTCTCCGGCTTTCTCCGTCCTGTTTTGTCTCAGGGACTGACCTTTATGGGCTACATCAAGTGGGCTCCCTGGCCCTTTGGATTTGGCCAATGGAAAACACAAGCCAAAAATCAAAAGGCAGAAGGAGAGAGAGGCTGGGGCATTTATTCTCTTGTCCTCCCTGCTGGACCATGGGTGACAGTGGCCACCCACAGCTCCTGTTTAGGGGTCCCACAAGCCTCACCAGGTTCTGATGACCACTCCCTCCCCTTGCACCTGCTCCCCGCTGCTCTTAGCCCTCACCACCCCTTAACAGTTTTCCTCAAATTTGCCAACATCTTTCTAAACAAGCCATTATTACCATCTCTTTTTTAAAAATCCTTTGTACCAGCTGGAACCATGTCTATGAAGAAAGACATTGCTGGCATCAGAGACATTGTTCCCAGGGACTTCAGTCCCCTCTGGTCCTGGGCACACAGATTCCCAAAGGGCAGTCAGGAATAGGCCAATTAGCCTGTGGTGGCTTCTCCCTGACCCAGATACTTGGGGACTTTGTTTCAGTCCTTACATTGGTAATTAAAATGTTACCTTTTTGCTCATTGCCCTGGAGTTGGTTAAGAAAAATGAACATCTGTAGAAGCACTGAGACCACAGATGTTTCTCTTTCTCGCCTGGGCACTGAGTCTCATGAAGGAAAACTGAGGAGTTGGGCAACAGTCTGGAGCAGAAGGGTCTGAGATCACTAAGCATGAACACAGGTCAGAGGAGCTGTAAATGTGCACTTGGCTATGGATCTGCCTGTGGGCTTCTGGGTTTGTGTGTGAGACTGTGTGTGTGTGTGTATGTGTGTGTGTGTGTGTGTGTGTATGTATTGTATGTGCCTGTCTACATGTCATTTGGTAGTTTCACATGTGTGCTTGTGTTATGTACCTGACTCACAGCCTGACTCTTCCTGAGTTAGACCCAACCTGGGCCCCGTTTAGCCCACGTAGACCAAGGTATCGGCTGCCTGGCATGCAACTAGGGGCTCCTCACTCATGCCTGTGACCGTAAGCACTGGCATCACAGCTGAGCATTGGGAGTGACACTGTTGGCTCTGCTGCTGGACAGGAAGGTGCCCAACCTCACAGGAGCCACAGTCAGGTCATAGAGGGACCCCATACCTCTGCCCAGCAGTGTGTGCTGGTGCACGTGTGAGTGGGTGACACCCTCGTGTGTGAGAGCAGGAGGGTGTGTTGTTTGGTTTTATCTATATGTTATCATATTGTATGAAACATGGTTGTTTGCCATGTGCGTACCACGTTGTGGTGGTTTAATGAGTGCGCCTGTGACTGAATAGGCCTAATGGCCCCAGGCTGACTGCCTTCCCCCAGGAAGGGGATGTGTCAGAGGGGCAGAAGCATGGCCTCATTATTAATGGGACAGTGTGTGGTACTTATTGTAGTGAGTATGTGGCCAGGTGTGCATAGAGTTGTTTGTATGTGTACTTGCAAGAGTTTTTAAATTGTTTGTGGCCTTGTGTGTTTTTGGTGATGTGTGTATAGTGTTTATGTGTGTGTGGTGAGTTGAGCGTCTACTGGGCGTGTCATGAGTCAGGTGGGTTGATGTGTATTGCGAGTGTGTTTGCAGGTGAGTGCTCCATCATTGTGTGTGGCGTATGTCTCACTTTGTGTGTTACTTATGATGTGCATGGGTGTGTATGAATGTTTATGAGCTCTTCTTCCCTTAGGGTGGCAACTTGGTAACAGGTAAGTAATATTCACAAATCAGCTTGTGTGTGTGTGTGTGTGAGTGCGATCTGCATCCATGACATCAATTTAAAAAAAAAATTTTTTTAAAGATTATATTTATTTATTTTTAGACAGAGGAGAAGGGAGAGAGAAAGAGTGGGAGAGAAACATCAAGGAGTGGTTGCCACTTGCGTGCCTCTACTGGGGACCTGGCCTGCAAACCAGGCATGTGCCCTGACTGGGAATCGAATTGGCGACCCTTTGGTTCACAGGCCGGCTGAGCCATACCAGCCAGGGCCAATTTTTCTTTAAGTCTCCTCATTCCAGGGCACCATTAGCTGGGATAACCAAACTCCAAACCACTTCCTGTTTCTTGGAATGGACCTGCCGTCATTTTCATGAACCTGCGTGTGACTGAGTCACTCAGAATTTTGCATCTCTCTCTTTTTACTAAATATCCCAGGCAAAAGAAATTCCAGGCATCTTGCTGTGAAAAGTAATTGGGCAGAATCACTTTCAAATAATGGTGACCTTGGAAAGTCATTTAAATCCTTGGCCTCAGTTTACATCTATAAAATGGAAAGAATTACACTTGCCTTGTGACTTTTACAGAGGCCCTGAGTAATGGTTTATTGTAAAAAAATGTATATCTACTGGAGAATTCTTGTCAGTTGGAAAATATATAAATATGAAGGCATTAAATTATCTAGTAAGGGGACTAAGAAAATTGGGGACCAATATGAGTCCTTACAGCTCTAAAATAACATACTGTGCTTGGCTCCCCTAACCAACAAACGGGAAGCTTCCATGTGGAATGGTTCTGAGCTTTGGCTCTGATCACACAGGTGTATTAGACTGAACCCTACAACGTAGCTAATACTTGGTAATTTGTGATGTATAGAAGATGATAACACATATATATTATTTATACATTACATATCACATATAATATATACACAGACACACGTGTGTACCATTCTGCCCCCCACTGTACCGCTGTGTGCTTACAGAGTTTGTATCATTTATGTTTCTGTTTCTTAAAAGCTAAAATAGGTGAAAGATCACAACTTCTTAGTGCAGTTAGAAAGTGGTTTTAATATCTGGCAATGTGAGTCTGGTGAATGGACTGACTCAGAAAAGGTAGATAAAAGTCCTTAAACTAGCACACAGATGTCCACCAAAATGTTGCTGTGTTGTTATGAAAGACAGTTTGTGGACTTTTCTGGTTTTAGAGCTACTGTGGCATCGAGTGGCTTTAAATGCTCACGATTTCTAGAGTGTCCCTGAGGTTGCAGCTGTAGGTCAATGGGACTCAGCAGGTTCTCAGTGCCATCGCTCCCACATCTCCTCAGCCCTGGAGCCTCACGTTACTTTAAGGCAGAAACAACTGTTCCCAGGTTTCAGGTTCATCTCCTGATTCTGCTGCAGTGAATTATTATGCATGGCTCTGGCCTGGTGGAGAAATTGTCTCTCCATGCTCATCGAGATCTAAACTCCTAGAAGGGGGATCTGCTTTACCTGTTCACTGACGGATCTCAGTCCTTAGTAGATGTCCTGACATGGACTCAGTGTTCAATAAATAACAGCTGAATGAAACAGTGAACACCGCCTGCTTCTGTTCAATGAGGTCTTGTTGGCTGTTTTCAGGTTCAGTTTTCCAGGAAGCAGACTGGGATACAGCAAAGATGCATACATTTATACATACAAAAAAATTATTAAGGATGTAGTTAAATTAATGAAATTACAGAATGAGATGTAATGGTTCTGGCTGTCTTTCTAGGATCATGAGATTCCCAAACCTCCTCTGTCCCCGGCAGAGAGAAGAGCGGCATTGGGGCCTCAGAACCAGAGCCACATGTCTGAGTTCCTCCTCCTGGGGCTCCCTGTCCCGCCAGGGCAGCAGGGCGCATTCTTCGCCCTGTTCCTGGGCATGTATCTGACCACGGTGCTGGGCAACCTGCTCATCCTCCTGCTCATCAGGCTGGACTCCCGCCTGCACACGCCCATGTACTTCTTCCTCAGCCACCTGGCCCTCACTGATGTCTCTTTCTCATCTGTCACTGTCCCTAAGATGCTGATGAATATGCAGACTCATGACTTCTTCATTTCCTACCCTGGGTGTATTTCTCAGTTGTATTTTTATTTATTTTTTGGTTGTGTTGATAATCTTCTTCTGGCCGTGATGGCATATGACAGGTATGTGGCCATCTGTCACCCTCTACATTACACCACCATCATGAGGGAGAGGCTGTGTGTGCTGCTGGTGGCTGGCTCCTGGATTTTCTCTTCGGGCAGTGCTCTGCTGCACACCCTCCTCCTGGCTCAGGTGTCCTTCTGCACTGACAACATCATTCCTCATTTTTTCTGTAGCCTCTCCATTCTAATCAAGCTGTCATGTTCAAACACCTCTGTGAATGAGCTGGTCTTATTCACTGAAGGGGCTATGGTTGTCATTTTTCCATTGTGTGGCATTCTGGTTTCTTATGGACACATTGGAGCCTCTATCCTGAGGGTCCCCTCTACCAAAGGGATCTGCAAAGCCTTGTCCACCTGTGGCTCCCACCTGTCTGTGGTGTCTCTCTTTTATGGGACAATTATGGTTCTGTACTTTTCCTCCTCATCAAGCAACTCCACTGACAAGGGCATGATTGCCTCTCTGATGTACACAGTGGTCACCCCCATGTTAAACCCCTTCATATACAGCCTAAGAAACAGAGACATGAAGTTGGCTCTGAGAGTTCTTTTAAAAAAAAACCCTTTTGCCATGTGAGAATTACCTAATCATGTTATTTTATACACTGACCTTGTCACACATCCTGAAAAATGGCATGTTGCTCACCCGTGCCTCTAGCATCCTCCCAACTGTCCTTACTGGACCTAATCCCTTTTACGCTAGTCATATTTGGTGTCCATTTATTCTTCAAAAAACCAAAATATGGCATTTCCCACAACACACATTCAACTTGTAGTCTTCAAACTCCTTTTAGTCAGACAAGCACTGGTCATCCTAAATAGCTCACACTGTTGTCTTCTCTGGCTGAGACGAGATGAAAGACTTGCTAAGATCACAAAGCACACCAACTACCTTTCTCAAAAGGAAAATGACACCTGTATTTTATACTTCCTTCAAAAAGATAAAACCAGTTTAGCTTTAGGCTAAGATTAGAGGTATGATACATGGCTGAGTTTCTGACTCTTAGGTGGCAGAAGGCCTGAATTCCCAAGTGTGTTATGGTACCTCACTTTGTCTATAACAAAATGAATAATTGGCCCTTCAAGCAAAGCCAGTTTAAATTTTGTGCAATATTGTTTTGATAGGTAAGAAAAAAACCCTCCTCAAGAAAAGGTAATATGACTTTTCATTATAATTCAGTTTCTGTTTGTTGAAGTAAATGAGATATAAATCACTTCCTTATTTCCCTTTTCTTTTGTTTTCCAAAGCTACAAATATTCAGTCAAGCTTCTAATGTTTAGTTTAATAAGGTCTAGTATGCTTATCATTTTAATGTATTACATAGTTAATGACGTGCTTTTGATGGTGCTAAAACCTAAATAAATTTAATTTGATTGTGTTTGTGACAAGAACATAACAGGAGCACCCTGTAGGAAGACTGTAATTTTTTGCCTCTTAGTTAGATTTCTGTGGTGAGATCAGGCTATGTCTCTCTGATTAATGTGAGTCTGGGAAAATGATTGTTGCCTTATTACCAAACTGAGAGCTCCCACTTCTAATTCTTTTTTAAAAAAGACATTTAATTTTTTTTTATTTTTAGAAAGAGGGGAAAGGAGGAAGAGAGAGAGGGAGAGAAACATTGATATGAGAAACATCAACTGGTTGTCTCTTGTATGTGCCCTGACCAGGGACTGAACCCACAATGCAGGCATGTGTCCTGCCCAGGAATTGAACCAGCAGCCCTTCGTTTTGCAGGACGATGACCAACCCACTGAGCCATACTGGTCAGGGCGAGAGCTTCCATGTCTAATAAGGAAAAGCTAAATGCATGGGTTCACAATTCATGCACATAAAAGTACTTGTTGCATGACTACTCTTGTCCCAGGAGATCTTAGTTCTGTGAATATAGATTTCTGAAAAGCCTCGCAAACCCATCTGCATGTAGGACTTACATCCCAGCCCTCCTGCTCCATTCATCAGGTTCCTGTCTTCATAGCAGTTTTTAATCTTCTAACACACCATAAGCTTTACTACTTCCCTTTATTGTCATTGTTTCTTCACGGGAATGTAAGCACTACACTAGATGGGTGTGGCGTCAGAAATAAAGAAATAAATTGCAAGCTTTATTCATAGGTAAAGACTACTATGAATAAAGGAAATGTAAAAAGGAAGAGCAATATGGCCATCAAAAAGAAGGACCCCTTACCCTTTGCAACATCATGGATGGACCCAGAGGGTATTATGCTAAGTGAAATAAGTCAGTCAGACAATTACTATATAATTTCATTTATATGTGGAATCTAAATAAAATAAACAAACAAAATAGAAGCAAACTCATATATAGAGAGAGCAAACTGATGGTAGCCAAATGGGAGGGGTGTTAGGAGAATGGGTGGAAAAGGTGAGGGGATTAAAGAGTGCTAATTGGTAGTTACGAAATAGTCACAACGATGTTAAGTACAGCATAGGAAATATGATCAATAATAGTGTAATGGCTATGTATGGTGTCAATAGGTACTAGACTTATGGGGGGCATCATTCTGTAACTTATATAATTGTCTAACTACTAAGCTGTATACCTGAAACTATTATAATATCAAATGTCAACTGTAATTGAAAAAAAAAGGGGGAGTAAGAGTGCCGGGGTGTTTATCGCTTATGTCGTATGGCCCAGGTAGATCTCGTTGGAAAGGTAACATCTAAACAAAGACCTTAGTGAGGACAGGGAAGCACGCTATTGGGATCTCTAGGGACAATAATCCCAAGCTTGAAAATCAGCAATTAGATGCTCAGAGGTGAGACAGTGCCTGGCCCACTGCAGGAACATTGAGGGGCCTCTAGAGCTGGGTAGGGCCGAGCCCGGGATGGAGAGTAGGTGATAGGTTCAGTGATATTAGGAGACCAGATCTGCAGGGCACTTACAGTCATAGTATCAACAGGTGTATTAGTTAAGGGTCTCCAGAGAAATAGAACCAATAGGGTGTGTATGTGTGTGTACATGTGTGTGTTTGTAGGAAGAGACATTTATTTTAAGGAATTGTTCATGTAATTGTGGATGCCAGTAGTCCAAACTCCACAGGGTAGAGCAGCAGACTGTAAATGTGGGGAGAAGTTGCGATTTGAGACTAAAGGCAGTCTGCTGACAACATTGTCTTTTCTTTGGGGGAAATCAGTCTCTTTCTCAAGCCCCTCAACTGATTGGATAAGGTTCTACTACATTATGGAGGCCTGTCTAATTTACTCAGAATCTCCTAATTGCAATGTTAATCCCATCCAAAATCAAAAAACCTTCATAGAAACATTTAGAATAATGTTTGACTCAATTATCTAAATACTATAGTTGAGCCGAGTTAACACATAAAATTGGCCATCATAGTAGAATTTTTGGTATTCATTTTGAGTAATCTGGGAACCCACTGGAAAGTATTAGATAAAAGAATAACATAAGCATACTTAATTTTGTTACTGATTCTTTAACAAACTCCCAGATTTTTTGAGGTATAAGTGACATATACTGGACTTCATAGACTTCAAGTATAGAATTTAAACAGTTTCAACATAGGTACAGACCCACTGAAACCATCATTATAAACTGTTGGGATCATGAAGTTTCCCCAAGCCTACCGCCTGCTCCCTATTTGCTCCTCCCAGCTGTCGCCCAGGGAACCACTGATCTGTTTCAGTCACATAGTTTGCATCTTCTAGAAGTTTCTCTAACTGGAATCATACAGAACATATTCTTACTGTTGCCTTCTTTCACTCAGCATCTGCATTTTGAGATTCATCTATGTTGCAATATGTATCAATATATCTTATATTCTTCTGCTCATTAGTTTATTCTTTTTATTGCCAAGCAGTTCTCCATTGTATAGATATAGCACAGCTTATTTTGCCCATTAATCTGTTGATGGGTATTTAGGATTCTCCCTAGTTCCAGCCTGATTTTTATTACATCCCAGCACTTTTTGCCATTTATCATTAATTTTTCATAATTTTTTCCTGAACCCCCTACTTCAGTGTGTGTTCTCCAAGAGGAATTTATTTATTTTATTCACTGCTGTCTCCAGAGTCTGTATCACTGTCTTACTTGTATGAGAACCTTAATAATTACCTAAGAAAATGAGTGAATGAATGAACAAATGAATTCATTTTACATTATCAAATGCCTGTTTGAGCCATAGCTGATCCCTAGGGATACAGACATTGACAATGACCCTCAACATTTAGTAGTCTTTCATTACATGCTCATTTATCATCCCTCAAACTCACAAGGAGACTATTATTATTATTATTTCCACTTTGAAGAACCTGAGTCTGAGCAATCGCTGATAAATTGCTCAGGAATGCTCTCTTAGTAAAGGGGTGGAGCCCTGAGTCTTTTCTCAGAGCACGTAGACTCAATCACCTTGCTGAGGAGCAAGGCACAGACCCTACCCTCCAGGACCCAACAGAGGAGTAGGGAGAGCAGCACCTTCATAGGGACTTTATGTTCTAGTGGAGGCCTGGGTCGTGCTGTGGGAATCTGCTGAATCCCCCATGCTGCCTGGGCCATACACTGCTGTGCAGAGAAGCTGAATCGTGATGAGAGGCCATGGGCACCTGGGCACCTCCTGCTCCCATCCAGAGAGTTGACCAGAAGCCTCAGGCATCACTGACATTAAGGACACTTTCACTTGAGACACCAGTTGCAGCTCAGCCCCTCTGGACCCTGAGCATGCTCCTTCCCAAGGGGCTGAGAAGAGTTGGGCAATTATCCCAGGTTGACTGCTGCTCTACTCTGGGACTTGGGGCTGTTTCCCTCTGGGGTTTCTATGAGTAGAAGGAGATCTTCTGCTCGTTGTTTTGCAGCTGCTGATCAGACATGAAAGTGGGCAGCGGTCCTCAGGCCACTGTGGTCTCCTCTGTCCTCTAATCCTGAGTGTGCTGCACAGAAAGTGAGGATCCAGGTAACAGCACAAAGCACAAGGTATTAGAATCCTAGCACTGGTACCTATCCGAAGGGGCCCAGAAATCGCAGTCGTGTGTGTGTGTGTGCGCGCGCGCCTGCGTGCGCGTGCGTGTTGTATGACTTTGTGTGTATGTGTGTTGTGTGGCTGACTCACACACCGAATACTTCCACGTAGGCTCCATCCATATAAATCAGGGAAGGTTGGACATTTCCTCAGCAATGTCTGCTGATTTCACTTGTGTTTTGTTCCCATGTGCTGTATTTAAGACACTGTGCATCACTTGTGATTTGAAGATGTCTGGCTACTTTGTGACTACAATGTGTGTGGTGGAGGATGCTTGATAATTCTGTGTGTACTGTGTTACACATATGAGAGTGCATGTTGTGAGTTTTGCATAGATTTCTATGATGTTGACTCACACCGTGACTGTATTTACCTAGCCTGATATAAGCTAGAGAGAGAAGTCTATATCTCTCCCTTGGCAAGTGTGTGGCTGTGATAGTGTTTGAGTGCTTTGCTTTTGTGTGTAACAAACTCACACCTTGATTTCCTTCACGCAGAACATGTGTAGGAGAGAGACTTAAAACCAGGATACAAAAAAAGGCCTAAAAAATTCTTGCTTTGATACATTTGTACTCTCCACTTGCT